GGTAAAAAATTTAGAATAAAACTTTAGTGCAAACACACACAAAAATGACAGCTAGGTAGTGCCAAATATTACCTAATAGTGTTTCTAGTGATCATCTTGAATAATGGTTGTAGTGCACTCACAAACCTTCGAAAGCCGGCATGGTCAACAATACATAAAGGATACTTATGCAGTACAATCATGGCAGCAAGCTCCTTCCTAGCAACTTTTGAATCAAATGTGTAATTCTCCACTGATATTTTTCCTCCTTCTTTGGAACCGAACCTCAAGGTTGATTGTTCAAGTGTCTTCTGCTGACCCTTCAGCTTGATCTTTTTAATTGTGCAGATTTTCAAATGATCATGTAGATGCCTAGTCCCATTTGTGCTTTTTCCTCCAAGCTGCTTGTGGCAATGAAGGCATTGAGCCTTCACAATACCACAGACTTTGACCTTCTTGAAATCATTCCAAACAACGGAAGTCAGCTTTCTCTTAGTGCCAAAGTCCATGTCTTGGGGCTCATCGTCATCAATTTGTATCGGCTCAGAATCATTAACAGATTCAGTTTGTGGTGGAAGTGATTGTGAATCTTGTTGGCTGCTACTCCCGCTGCCTTGAGTTGCATTCATAGTAAATCTGACAATTAACAAATAAATATGAATGAAATCTACGACTATATATGAAATATGCAAACATAAATAAAATGCACAAAAACATGCTGCAATAATCTAAAGCTCAGAGCATAGAATATAAATATGAACATTGTAGCATACTATGTAAATCGTTACACACACATACATTCAATAATAATTTGAAGTTTTAACTAAATGATTAAGAACCATGGATTTTAGTTGCATTCATTCATAAATCATAACCATAGAATACAGTTTACACATGCAAAAATGTTAATATAAACAAGCTAATAAGAGAAGAAGGTTAGCGAGATTAAAACCGACCCTATGGATTTTAGTAGCCGGAGGCCACCGTCGATTGATGCCAGTGGAGCAGGAGCTCCTTCAATTGCAAGGCGGCTTGTCGATTGATGCTTTTCATTTGAGGCTTGGTCGCCCTTTGCGATGGTGAAGCGACAATCTTCAATTGCATAGCATTTGGTGGCGATTCCATCGTCTTGGTAGTGAGTGAATCTCATGACCATAGGGTGGACTAAGACAGGCAAAATCTCGAGGGTGGACTAAGACACGCTTGTGCAAAGTGCAAGAGTGCAGGCTACATGGAGTCTTAGTTTCTCACCTTACTTCATCATCGTTCGAGCTTGGAGGCGGGGAGGGCAAAGCCATGGTGGCCGGCGGTGAAGGCTGTGCGGATGCGTCTCCCATGATGCTCTGCAGGCGGCGCGGCCCTGGTGGTGTGGATCCGACGGTGAGCTGCTCCGGTGACTGCAAGTGGTCGGTGGAGTGGTGGTGTGCTCTTTGGAGGGTGGAGTGGCGGCGGCGCGCTGGGTCTTGCGGCTGGCGCTGGCTGTGCTTATGGGCTCTGGCGCCTCTGCATTCTTTGCTTGTTGCCTTTGCGCTCAAGGCTGGGTCTGCTGGGGGCGCTGCTGCTGGTAGCAAAGGGAGCAAGCAAGCGATCGCTATTGTAGTTAAGCGGAGGAGATTGCGGTGGCTGCGGCTGGTGGTGAGCGAGGAAGAGAGAGAGCGCGCGATCGTCTGGGTGGAGGACAGGATCACGGGAGTGACCAGTCATCGGATGGGGAATTGGGGATTGAGGAATTAGGGTTGGATGGCGCGTTATATACCTCCGCGACTTACTGGGCCTTTACATGGGCTGCATGTTGCGTGCTTCGTAAAGCTTTGCGGGGTGGGTTGGCGGGGATCGGGATCGGGGACCAGGCAACCATCGCCGTCCCCGCCATCCCCGACGGGGACAGCTTTCCTACCAAATATTTCCCCGTGGGGATTAATTCTCCTCCATCCTCATCCCATAATGGAAGAATTCACCGCGGGGAATCGGGAATCGGGTCTCCATTGTCATCTTTAGGTAGTATAGGCACTGAGAAACTTTTTGGGGGAAGGAAGGGTTGGGTGTGGACGAGTTGGGTCTAAATTAGGACGGATCAGGATTGAGAACAACAAAAGAGCCTATCCAGCCCAATTTTGTATTGGGCTGTGTTTTGCGGTATACTTCGTATCATCTAAGGCCACCTAGCAACAGAGCCAGGTCAACAGCATGTACCGAATCCTACGTGATCTTTAACCTTGAAGCCCCCCCACCCCCACACCTCACACACAACACACACCCAAAAAAAGGAGTTCTGCTCGTCTGCTGCACACCAATGGCTGCTTGGCTTGCTACTAAAAAAATTTACCTCACCAAAGATTTGGTAAGCAGAAATTATTAAAGGTTGGGAAAAAAAAAGCTGCCAAACATTTGGTAAGCTAATTATGTGATGTTGGCAAACCGAAAAGAGGTGATCTGTTGATCTTTTTCTTTTTCCAGCTATACGGGCATGTTTAGCAGTAATTGTCGTTCTATCGGACCATACTAAAAGCATAATTTATGTTTTTCTTGAAGACGAATTTTCTAGACTTCTAGATTTAGGTGTTTTCTAGTGAGTCAAATCTCACAAACGGTGTATTTCCTTCAAAAGAGACCTCGGTGATAACTGGACATGAATATTTGTTTCCTATTTCGTTGAAAATTCATTCTACACAATAAATTTTATTCTATTTACATATAGAATAAAACGAAATTCAAAATAAAGGGTAACAAACTAAAATCTAGTAGAGTAATAGAAAAAATAGAATTTCGTCAACATCTCAATTTTTTTGTATATGTATTATTTATTTTTATGTTGCTTATATCTAGTAAAATTGTTAGGTAAATAGACCTTGGATTCCCCATTTATTTTGGAGAAAAAAGAATATATTTTCATATGGAACATTGATAGAGAAAAAGGCCAACTATCGGATTTGAACCGATAACCCTATGGAAAGAGTGTACCAAATAAAAAGTATATAGGAAATCTATAAAGTGCCACATCTTAATTTTAATTTTAGTTATTAACTAGTTCTTAATATTGGCCGTCAACCAACCAGGGTCATGAACCTTGAAATTTCAAGAAAAATCCAAGGAAATATATATGCTCGTCCGCCCATATGCTACCCTTCCTCCCCACAGGCACCTCATGGCTATTTAGATCGCCCACTGTCGCCTGGACTCATCGTTCTCCCTGTCCGTTGTCCATGAGCCTGGCGAGCTTCCAGTGTTTTCATGTATCTTCTTCTATCAAGTCGGACGAGTTTGCTTGCCTCCATTTTGAGGGACATACAAATATTAAAGGAATATTTCTCTATGAGGATGACCCTATCCCCTTTGACTCCTATCCAACCGCCTTTGGATCTGGGATCGCTTACATCCCGTCCCGGAACCAAAGACACGGTGGTAAGGCACTGACTAGCCCACAGCTTCACATTGATACTCATAGATAAGTTGTGATCAAGGGACGGTGTTAGAAATATATTTTTTTGAAACAAGGTGTTAGAATATTGTGTATGATTTTTTTGTTAACCTGTGATCCTGGCCCGCTAATTGTAGGTTACCAGGTAGATTTTTTTCTCGATCGTGTCCGTGTGACACGTTTTTATTAAGAGGAAGCAGAGTTTAACAAGATACAACCAATTCAAGTAATTCAGAGATTGCCAGCAAGAACGCAACCCCAACAAAAAAAAAAGAGAAAGAACAGAGAAGGGGAAGAACCCAAACCACAAAACCCTACTAGCCAAAACCAGCGAGAAGAAAATACATCAACGCAAAAGCTGCCTACAAAGCGAACCAAGTCACGGTGGCAAAGCATCCACCAAGGGTAGTCGATGAACCAACGCCAACAACGGCAAAGCATCCACCCGAGAGGACAACAACAACCGCAAAGCATCCGCAAGGTGAACCAACAACAACGGCGACTAAGCATCCGCACGAGAGGATCATAGCAACCTTGTGCGGGCCTCTCACCTCCTGCGTTGAAGCCGCGCAGCCTCGCAGAGTGCGCCGCGCCGCCACCATGGCGACCTCCGCGCGTCTCACGGCAAGCGGCAGACGGCCCCACACAGCACTCGTGCGTCGTGCGCAGATCCATGCTGACGAAGCGTGTGTGGCCTCATGCGATCGAGACGTCGCGCAAAAGCCCCCGCGGTCGGCGCCTTCATGGCAGACGACCCAGGTGCCCCGCGACCGGAGCCCCGGAGACGGCGTCAGGCGGAGCCCCGCGTCCGGCGTGGTAGATCCGCAAGGCCTCCGCACGCCTTGTAGCTGGCTGCCCCGCACGGCCCGGTCTCAAGCGCCGAGTCCCGCATGGCCTCCACGGCCAAGCCCCGCGCCTGAAGGCCCGCCACGGCCAACACCTACAGCAGCTGCACAGATCCGGTCCCTCCCCACACGGATCCAGCCCCCAGGTGCAAAACAGGGATTTGGGGTTCGTGGAGGGGAAAAGTAGAGGAGAGAGGATAGAAGAGCGAGAAAGAAAGCCTTTTTGAGCCCCCCCCCTGGCCGCCTCCGCCGCCACCGGCGAGGAGGCGAGGTGCTAGGGGGCGGCCGGGCTATCGCCCTCGAGTCGCCTCCGTGGGAGATGACAGCGGGGAGTGGAGTCGTTGGTTCAAATTCCTTACCATGTAGATCAATTGTACTTAAATAGGATTGTATCAAACGGGCAAGGATCCTAGCTCAAAATAGCATGCAATCGCGCGACCTTAGCAAAGGGGACGCGTTCCAGCAAATCCTACATGCATCGTACACGGTACACCGTATCCGCTTCCGTGTCACGAATGGACTATTGATCCGAACGGGAGAAAACTCACAACCAGCCACGCCCCCGCCGCCTGCATATAAAACCTTATTAACCCACCCGATCGAGCAAGGAGCAACCCCGACACAGCAAAGCCAAGCTCCAGACGCGAGCAAACTCGTCGCCGTCGCCGTCGCCGTCGCCCACAACGTGCTCGGCGCCTCGGCACAGCCCGTACAAGCGAAAGACGACGTCGCCGATCGATCGGCACGCTACGCTAGCCATGGCGCAGAAGCGGAAGAGGATCGACGTCGTCGAGGACTGCGGCGCCGCCATGTGCGCCAACGGGTGCGGGTTCTTCGGCAACGTCGCGACCGGCGGCATGTGCTCCAAGTGCTACCGCGAGCACGCCGCCGGCGCCACGGCGACGGCGTCCACCACCGCTGAGAAGAAGACGCATCAGGTTGTTTTCGACACGCCGCCGCCAGAGCGGACGGCGGCGCTGGCAGAGAAGAAGGCCAAGATCGTGTGCGCCGCCGCCGCCGTCGCGTCGTCGACGTCGTCCCCTGACGGAGGCGCCGATGCAGCCGCGGCCTGGGCACCGTCCACGGAGCCGCAGCCGGTGGGTCCCCCGAAGCCGGCGGCGAACCGGTGCTCGGCGTGCCGCAAGAAGGTGGGCCTGCTGGGGTTCCGGTGCTGCTGCGGGGAAACCTTCTGCGGCGCTCACCGCTACGCGGAGAAGCACGCCTGCGGCTTCGACTACAAAAGCGCCGGCCGCGAGCGGATCGCCAAGAACAACCCGGTCGTGGTCGCCGACAAGATCGCCAAGATTTGAACATGACAGCAAGGAGAAACGATCGACCAGTGTGACACATTAGCTAGCTAGTAGTTTGCAGGCAGCACTAGACTCTGTGTTTGATTTTGGCTTTTGTAAATAATCCATCGATCTGCCGGTTAGGCTCATCTAGTCTAGTTGGACGATGGCCGCCGTGCACGGTGCACCACCGTACCTGCGCGTCGGCAGAGATCGTCTCATGTCTCCATATGAATACCGCAGACGTATTTAGGCTTTGCATCGTTCTCTGCGTCATCAACAGATCGATAGCAGTAGGCGTACAGGATTACAAGAACTTGGTATAGGACGTCCGTCCGCGTCGACATTCCCCATGGTGGGCCGTCCGCGCCAACACAACGGCCGTCTCTTATCTTATTTGCTCACCCACTCGTCTCCGACTATTTAAAAAAAGCTCACCTCGCTGCAGCGCTCCGCGACCGCGCTCTCCACTACACTTCCCTCTTCACCGCGCCTCCGCTCCGCCACATAGCATCTCCACCGCGCGAGAGCGTGGTAGCCCATCTTCATCCCTTTCCACCGCACCTCTCGCCCACCGTGGTCTTCTAGAGCGTGTGGACCCGCCACGACCTTCTCCATCGGACCTGCCACTGCCTTCACCACCGGATCAGCGAGCTCCGTGCCACCGACGAGCTCTACACCGGTGAACTCCACGCGCTGACGAGCCTCCATTCCCAAACAGCAAGGAGATATTACGATGAAAGCGCGTGTTGCAAACATAATCTTTAAATTTTTCAGATGTATGTTGCAAGTGTTTTATACCGGTGTTGCAAAAATAGATCGGGATGTTGCACATATTGCAATGGCTATATACGCATGTTTCAAGTGTATGTTCCAATTGTTTCATCTGTTTCAGACGTATGTTGCAAGTCTCTCATCTGGATATTGCAAAAGTATATATCTAGATGTTGTATATACATGCATGTTGCAAGTGTATGTTTTTAAGTGTTTTCAATTGCATATATTTTGCAATGGCTACACACCTGGTTTTCTGGTGTTTCAAACGGATGTGCAAGTGTTTCAACTGTTTCGGACGTATGTTGGAAGTGTTTCATCTGGATGTTGCAAGAGTTTGATCTGGTGTTGCACATGTCGCAATAGAACCCACCTGCAATAGCTGCTAAGACGCCATGCATGCGCATGGGAAACAGAGGGGTGGAGCGCGCGCGGTGGCAGGCCTGGGAAGCGGGGTGGGATGGCGGAGGGGCGCGGCGGTCCCCTCCTGTGTGCGTGCAGCAGGGCACAGGCTCGGGCGGTCCCGTCTGTTGCGGGTTCGATCGAACGGGTGGAACCAGATACGTTATAGGCTGAGTGGGAGCTATGCCCGGACGCCAGGCAGGAGGCGTCCGGGCGCTAGCGTCTCCCTTACAAGAACTCGCAGGCGCGTAACCGTGAGCCCTCTTCAAGCACCTACTTCACTACTAGAAAACAGACCTTTCACCCACTTCGATTTTAGCCTTTAGTCTCGATATTTTTTGTTGTAATAATTTTTTACAATACCAAATGGGACTAAAGTCATCTTTAATCGGGTGATTTGGTCCGATCCATCACACGATTTCTAGTTTGATATTAGATCTGCCTTTGGCTTCCATCCTCACCATAAAGGTACAAGTTTAGGTGGGGCCACATGCTTGAAAGCCCTAATTTTGTTTTGGATAATTGATAAAACTTAGGACTAACTTTTATCTAAGTGTGTGAATTAGAAAAGGTGGTTTAATCCAAGTGATTGGGAAAAGACTAAGATGAGGTCCATAGTGCTTGATGACATATATAGTGGACATGAAATGAAGATGAATAATCTTTTCAACTTGATTTGGTCCGATCCAATGAAGATATTAGATCTGCCTTTGGCTTCCATCCTCAAAAAGGTACAAATGGGGCCACATGCTTGAAAAATTTTGTTGGAAAGATAAAAGATAGGACTTTTGATCTTTTGTGAACTCAAGGTGGACAACCAAGTGATTGAGTAAGATGAGGTCCATGGTGATGGAGGTGGACATGAAATGAAGATGATCAAGCTCAACTTGAAAAAGAAGAAAGAAAAAAACAAAAACCGAGAAGATTAAATTAAAGATATAAGATAGGTTTTATTTTTGCACTCAAGACACCATAGAGGGTTTGAGTGACTTAATTCTTGCATATGCATTTAGGAACCTAGTCTACTAACTTTGACCCTTATAAAATGCTTTAAAAATACTAACACATGTACACACACTTTGTGGTTAGCAAGTTAAAAGTAAGGACGAAGCGGTTGAGGACTTAGAAAAAGAAAAGGAGGCGAAGGGTGCTGACCGGACATAGGGACCTGTGCGTCCGGTCCTAAACCCTAGCTCTCGGGCAGTGGCGCAGCACTAACCGGACGCTGGCTAACTCGCACCTACGCGTTCGGTCATCTTTTGCAGAGGTGGCATGAGTGGCGATCGGACGTGCAGGCCTCGCGTCAGGTGCGTGCTGACGTGCGTTGACGCCAGCTCGAGGGCGAGCGCTGTGAGGAACGGACGCACCGGTGCGTCCGGTCATCCTTATCCTGACGCGTCCGGTCATCATTTTCACGCTCGGGGAGCTCTCTGTTGTTAAACGGACGCCGGAGGTTCGCTGGGTTCGGTCAAGCAAAGAGGCACATCCGGTCTCTACTTTGGGCGCGCTCGCAAAAGCGCCAACGGTCAAATTTGAATCGCGTGACGTGGCGAGCGCTGAGTGGCTCGGGGGGAGCGATCGGACACTAGACCGGCGCGTCAGGTCAACTCGACCGACGCGTCCGGTCATCTCGCAGAAAACCTCTCCTTGACTCTAACGACTCTATTCGTATGGGGACGTCTATAATAGTATTTGGCCGGCTCTAATGTATCTCTCTTGGCACTTTGTTATTCCTAACATCCTTGTGAGCCCAAGCAAACACCTCCCACTCATCTCCATCATTGATTCATCATCATAGTGAGATTGTGGGTGATTTCAAGTGTATTTGCTTGAGTGATTGCATCTAGTGGCACTTGAGGATTGTTGTGGCTGCGGATTTCTTGTTATTCTTGGTGGTTGCCGCCACCTAGACGGCTTGGAGCAGCGGAGGAGCTTCGTCACATATTGGTGATTGTTCGTGGCCGGCTCCGATGATTGTGAGGGGTCTTGTATTTTCCCGGCGAAGCACCGCAAGGTAGCTCTAGTAAATTGCTTCGTGTCATTGAGTTAACTCACTTGTGGATAGGTTCTTGCGGTGTCTAATTGTGTGGACAAAGTTCGTGCAACACCTCTTAGCCGCCGAACCACCGAGTGTTGATCGACACAACGGGGATTAGCATGTCGGCAAGCACGTGAACCTCGGAAGAAAAATTGGTTGTCTCTTACCCTTTGGTATTCTCCCGGTAATTGAATTGATATTCATCTTATGATTGGTTCACTCCTCTACGCGTGGTGGTATAATCATCCTACTCACTCCTTTACTTTCCCGTAAACTTATTGTAGCAAGTTCTTTAGTGTAGCTAGACTTGAGAGCTTGCTTTGTACCTTAAGTTCATCTAGTGGAGCTCTTTAATGTAGCAAGTTTGAGAGCTCTTAGTGAGTAGCAACATAGCCTCTTGTGTGCCTAATGATCATAGCAACTAGAATTATTAGATATGTGGCTTGTAACTCTTATAGAACTAGAGCAAATTTATATTTCGTTATTTGTCATACTAATCAAATTATTCTAGCGAACTTTCAACGATTGCCGGACAAAGCTGAAAAAATTGGACGGCAAAGATGTCCGGCTTACGCAGCCAGGCCGAGGATGACTGCATGGTGGCTAGGCGCTGCCTCTCCACCAGACGCACGGCGCGAATCCAAGGCGAGGATCATATATCTTCGTGGTCATCTTGCTGCGGCAACTGTTATTCAAACAACGCGTGCCAAGGACCAATACGCGACGTACTCAGTATAGTAGCTCTTCTTCGATTTGATTACGTCTAATCTGCATTGGTTGAGTAGTTGCGAATTATATCTCATTAGGCCATATTTTACTATTTCTGTTTGGGTGCAAGTTCTGTGTTCAATTGGAATTTGTCGTTTATAAATGAGAATTGTCAAAATTACTTGAATAGTTATATGATCTTTTTCTTGGTTTTTTTTATTTTCTGTATGCTTAATTTGGTTCCCTTTTGGAATCTTTTAATTTGGCTTCGGACAAATAATCTGGATTTTTTTGTTTTTGTTTAATATTTTTGTATTATTTTGATAACTTGTATTTGGTTCATTTGATCTGGATCCTGTGGTTATGAGAATCAATTGTTTTATGGATCAGAAACACTTGATTTTATTTCTGTTCTTAATCATGTGTTTTGGTGGCATCCAACACTCGGGTGTCAGATGCTGTGAAACACCCAAGTGCTGAGTAGTCAGATTCCTCTTTTAGGCTTTAGCCCAGTGCTGGATCCGCCGGCGCTCACTAACAAATTCCTCTTTTAGGCTTTAGCCCAGTGCTGGATCCGCCGGCGCTCACTAACCGCCATGCTTGTGACAGTTGAATGGATCAACTCTGCGTCCAACAAACGAACCCATGCGCCCTGCCAAAGAGACGACAAATCCAGGCCACCCGGACCGTGTCGTGTCGTCGTCGTCGTCTGCCGTGCAAGTCGCATCGGAAACACCGCTGGACACAATCGTCCTGTTGCCAAGCAGCCAAGGCTACCCGGTAGTCGCGAAAACCATGAAGGCACGTTCTGTGGTCAGGTCAAGATCAGGTGGTGTATATATACATACATGTGCGCTCAACTCTGATGCCAAACACGCACAGCAGCATCGATCGTCGGCCGGGCAACAAACACCAAAGTCTGCACGCACCGGCCCCGGCACCCGCTTCACTTCCTTGTCAAATGGCTTCCCGTAAGACACTGCTGGCAGCTGCAGCCATGGTCCTCGTCGCTACCGCCGCATTGCTCGTCCCGGCGACCGCGAAGAAGACGACTTTCACGGTCGGGGACGACTCCGGCTGGGACGTCGGCGTCGACTAT